ATCTACAGAATTAACGCATATATCTCGATCTGATATTTTATTTTATAAGTCACACATGGTCGTTTTTATTGAAAAGTCAAAGACGGATGTATACAGGGATGGCGCATGGCTTGTTATTAGTAGGACAGATTCCAAGCTGTGTCCAGTAGCCTGTGTGGAGAGATATTTACAAGCCGTATTTATTCATCCAGATTGTGATCAGTACATATTCAGGAATGTAAGCAAATGTCGTTCAGGCTATGTTCTTAGAACGGACAATGTTCCACTGTCTTATACCAGGTTGAGGGAACTTTTTATTGATGCTTTAACTCCCTTTGTTGACAACATCAAGAAGTATGGTCTGCATAGCTTACGCAGTGGTGGTGCTACTGCAGCTGCAAATAATGGTATACCAGATCGTATGTTCAAACGACATGGTCGTTGGAGAAGCGAAAACGCTAAAGATGGTTACATCAAAGATAGTATTGATAACAGAATGAAAGTTTCACTTTCCTTAGGCCTGTAACTTTCTTTGTACATCTCGGCCGTGTATCACACAGCGTATTCCCATGTTAATGGTGTTGTGTCTTGATTAAGTATTTAGGGGATAAGGAGAAATAATATTTCTCTCGTTTGAAGAATGAATAAGATAGAAATTATAATTTTCTCCTAGCGGTATGTCAATCAAGGTGATTATGTGCCCCTAGATGGCGTGATAGAGGGGGTATATAAGGGGTAGTACAATTTTGAATTGTTCTCTCTCGCTCACTGTGCATGCACGGCCTCACACTTGTTTCTTATATTTATTTGAACATTATATTAAAATTGTTCTTCATTTTATGATTTAATGATTTCATGTGTTGCAGATAGTCGTTGAAATGGAATGTACATTTGAGGGTAATGTGTACTGTTGTAAGTGATGCCATTGCTTGGCTGGCGAGTCTTTACTTTACAGCGTTGCTTCATTGAGAAAGTCCATAGTTGGATGCAGTGATGTTGTTTGGCCGGCGGGCCTTTATTGGCTGGTGGGCCTTTATTGGCTGGTGGGCCTTTATAATACAGCGTTCTTTTATTGGGAAAGTGTGCAGTGTTGGATGCAATAATATTGCTTGGCCGGCGGGCCTTTATAATACAGCGTTGTTTTATTGTGAAAGTGTGCAGTGTTGGATGCAATGATATTTCTTGGCCGGCGGGCCTTTATAATACAGTGTTGCATTTGATCATACTGCATGTACATGTACTATGCGAGTTGCACTGTATATAATAAATTATGAAATTCATTGGTAACAAATGTTCATGAATTGTTAGTATTTCTGTTTGGACTTGCATATACATGTCATGAGTATACTGTATACTCTCCAGTATTTGCTGCTGCATCCGTTGAGGGAACACGGTTCCAGATGTTTTCTTATAAAAGTTTTTATATCTGGTTTTACGTGTCGGGCTTCAGCAAAATATAAATATTCATAGCAGATTGCTGACCATGTATATACAAATGTGTATAAATGAATATCTTTGTCTTATACTATACGCAAATAAATCGGCCGTGTATCACACAGCGTATTCCCATGTTAATGGTGTTGTCTTGATTAAGTATGTAGGGGATAAGGAGAATAATATAAGAGCAGGTAAGAGCTATCCAAATTATTCTGCTACTGTAATAAACTTTGGAACACACAAGTCGTACTGCGTCATCCGTTTCTTTATTGCTGTCACTTCTACTTTAGGGACTAATAGCTTTAATTGTGACGAGCACGACCTCCATACTATGAAAAATCTTGATTTGTAAACATCATGTAAATAACAATCTTAAATTCATTAGAAAGGTTGATCGTGTATCCTGACTGGAACAGACTTCCTCTTGTTGGGCATCAATGTCACAATTGTAACTGTGAGAAGAATATTTCAAAATATATATAACACGTCCCATTTTAATTCTGGAAACCCAAAAGTCCAGAAACTCTACGGTCTTTGCCCAGTCTCGGTCAGGGGTATTTACAAAATTAAACATGCTGTTTTCATGGGAACATACCAAGGAAGAGAAAATGAAAAAAAAAATTGTTGAAAAACTCAGTATTTACACTATGTCGCCCATGGGCCTGCCCATGGGCGAAGTGTGGCCCATGGGCGAGAATATGTTCCTATACTGAAAACTCATGTTTTTGTTTCGCAAATACATAAGTATATTTCTTTCAAGTATCTTGACACACAATTTAACTCATTTTAACTTAATTCAACGATTTTATAGCGATATTGAAATATTTCGCCCATGGGCGAGAAAAGGGTCTGGCCGATGGGCGAGAATATTTTCCTTTACTCAAAACTCATGTTTTTGTTTCGCAAATACATATATGTATATTTTATATATATTTTAATTTGTGTAGTATTATCTTGTTATTTATTTTCCTCTCGACAAAGAGGTATACAGTGAAATATGCGAAAACAGCTTTGTATGAATTGATCAGGATACAGATATATGGGCCGCCCATGGGGACACTTGGATTGAAGGCCAGGTCGTGGATTTTAACGAAATTTCTTCGGGGAAATATTCTTGGAAATAGACAGAAACTGTCAACCACAAATACTACATTGATGCAATGAAAGAAATATTTTGGCTCATAGTCGTAATTAAAAAATATATCTGATTTTCGCAGCTGTAGGTGAAACAAATATCTGGTTTCAATACAAAATCCCAGCCCCACGTCGATTTACTGTACCTTTTCTCCCAATTCCGATTTTGGCCATCACGATTATCATCGTTGTACAGCTACACCAGACACTTCCCTCTTACAAATAACGTCGTTAAATACACGACATCGTCATGTTGTCCCAGTTGATGTTGTGATTGAATGAGTGAAAGAGCACAAAACCTCCACCAATAAATCCGACAGCAAATCAGCCATCTCGGACCATATCAGCAACTGTTCCAATCACATCATCAACTGGGACAACGTCCAAATCCTCGCCAACAACCTTCATGATTTCACTAAAAGAAAACTAACAGAATCAGTCCACATTCGCCGCCACAAGCCATCAATCAACAGAGATCAAGGCTATTTCGTCCCATCCGCCTACTATGAACTCATCAAGCAATAATCACTTATCCTGTTTATTGGCTCCATGTTCCTATTGGCTTCCACCTATGTGTTCTCTGTCCATCGTGTTGTTGACAGCATTATCCCCTTGTTGTCAACACCTACCAATGTTATCCCACTCATGTATGCAATTGTTGTTAGAGTTAATCCTCTACTGTTAATCCTCCACCTACTATATATACTATATATACTCTTCAAAATGTAATATGATGCGATTGTTTCAAAATAGGACACAGAAACCATAATTGAAACACTGTTTGAAGATCATTGTACACAATGTTCAAAACATTAATCGTGTCACCTAGACAGACACACGTAAACGATACAGTTGATGTCACAGGGGTACAGAAAATGTTAGTATCGGTTGTGCCCACCACGTGCATCAATCACCGCTTGACACCGACGACCCATAGATGCAATCAAGTTGTCAATAACACGCTGGGTGTGCTGCCATTCATGCTGAAGTGCATCAAGAAGCGCCGGAAGTGTTAGGGGCGGTGGATTCCTTCTGCGAACGCGTCGATCCAACTCGTCCCACAGATGCTCAATCGGGGACAAATCTGGTGACCGGGCTAGAACTGTCCGCCATGAACGTTGACGTGAGGAAGAACGTAAGGCTGTAGGATCAAGTCTCTGTAACGCACACCTGTCAATGCACCTGCCACATGCACGAGAGGCGTCCTACCACCGCGATGAATTCCGGCCCATACCATGGCACTCCCACCGCCAAATGGGACAACCTGCTCACACAGTTGGGGGCGTAACATTCACCCCGACGTCTGTAGACACGTGCGCGCCCATCAGCACGTGTGAGTAGGAAACGGGACTCGTCAGTAAACAGTACATTTTTCCACCTTGCAAGTGCCCATCTAACCCTCTGTTGGCACCGAAGCAGACGGTCCGCCAGATTACGTGGGGTCAATACATGACGTCTAACAGGTCTTCGTGCAAAAAGTCCAGCCTCCCTCAGTCTGTTGCGTACCGTTTGATCCGATATTCTGCGTACCCCTGGGATCTGTGTGGTTGTAGACGTGGCTGTGGTAGTGCGGTCTCGGAGGTGTCGCAGCCGACTGTATTTATCTTGTGCTTGGGTTGTCATCCTTGGTCTTCCTGACCTTGGTCTGTCGTCAACTCTGTTGGTGTTGTTGTATCGGGTCCACAGTGCGGAGATTGCCTGTCTGGATACACCAAAGTGCCTGGCCACTTCTTGCTGAGTTGCTCCAGCTTGTAATCTCCCAATGGCGTTGTTCCGTTGAGCTGCATTCAGTCTTAGCATTCTGTCACCGCCTCTACTGCCGTTATAAGGACTGTATGAACAGCCGTTGATGTGGATTTTTATACCCAGTCAGCAGGGGGGAACTTACTGCTACTACATGATGTAATCCCGTATCGCGCCATATTAACCACTTCTCTAAAAATAACTGCCCCTCTTTTCAATTTGTTTCATTATTCCTCATAATTTCTGACTATGGAAACACGTGACAACTTCTTGTTGCGTTTTTTGGTAAGTTGAAATAAATTAATGAATATGTAATATAATGCCCCCATACTTTCATGGTGGAAAATCATAGACATCAACCTACATTGATCTCACTTTAGATTTTATGAGAGTTTCGTTTTAACGTATCAAAATCACCAGAACAAAGGCGCTCACTTCGTGGTGATATCTTTCCAAATCTTCTTCTTTGCATTATTTGTCATCTTATTCGTAAAGGCTTAATTCAGCTCATCAAAATGACTATCCACACCTGACACAATGACATCAGAGACCATATAATAGATTATCTATTATATGGTCTCTGATGACATCTATGTAAACCGTGGAGAAGTTTCTTTTTATTTTCTTTAGCCCAGAAGCGTCCATAATATATATCGTTCTATGTCGTTTCAAAGGGGAACAACTCTAATATAACAATTTTCCGTGTTTCCCCACAAGAGAGTTACTATTTTTGCCGATGCAGGTTGTTGTCGGTGGATTTGCTGTTCAAACGATCAGACTTTGCAGCGTATGATGACATTTTGATGTCTAACAGACCATCATAAAACTTCAAGAGGTAAGCTTTTATTTCACAATTTTATTTCATCCATGTTTAGCATCTTCTTTGATGGAAATGAAACAGGCGCCCTTCCCTTTCCGGTAGGGATCCCAGACGATTGTGTAATGTTGCCTTCTGATGAAAAAAGGAGACCCCAATTAGATCTACCATTGAAAAAAGGTTTCATAAAAAGATTATAAACTCATTGCGGGATAAATTACTTTGTTTGAGAGGTGTTCAGAATTAAAGGGGTACTGATCTAAAGCAATTCCCCGAGACTGGTTGTTGCCTTTGTTATTGTTTTTCCTCGTGAGTACCCGGAAGTAATAGCAGAAATCTAGACGAGTTCGCGACCTGTGCTGCTGCGAATGTATCCGTGAATATCACATAAAGGAACAATATACCACACGTCTGCAGCTGTACAAGGAAACTTATTCGATGTCACGTGTCTCAATATTTTAAAACATATACCCTCGCGACACGTGTTTCCGTGGTATAAAGAATAGCATTACGATAAACCAACCCGCTGACTTCGACAAGCAATAAATGTGAAATAAATCGTTAGAACACTCACCTTTACACCATTTAATTACAAGGAAACATCATTTTGTCCACAAATGCCTCCGTATCGGCTGCTGTACAATAGCGGCCATTTTTACACGACATGTAGTGACGTCATATGTTTCCGTGGTAAAGTTCATCGGGTCAAGCTACGGGTGGTTAGCACATGCCACAATGTCAAAGTTCTTTGGAATCGAAAGTAATGTTCCCAAGGCACTTCCAAACGTAACAAAATACAGATAACACTGTACTGAGTTATGAAATATGAAATAACTGTCACTTGAACACAAATTTTCAGATTATTTACAGTTTATGATCATGATCATCACAAATTTTGTTATTCTTCTTGGTGTCTGCAAGGTAGACCGTGACAGAAAAACACATCATGTCGTCGAAGAAAGGAGATGTCACAACAGTATTTTAAATGCACCCAGTGTTCACAATTTCCATGCATGCACTGTCCCCACTTAGTGAATTCAACACGTGGACATCGCCTCAGTTCATCTGGCTGAAACTTTCCGCATACACAACTCTTTTCGTCATCATCGTTGATAGATTCAGAATCTGATTGGTCGTCGCTTGAGATAAGGAGCTTATCAATCCCAGATGGTCCAGGTTGTTGGGATGACATACTGTCCTGCTTATCCTTGCTAGTAGACTTGGTAGTTGGTTTAGTTGTCTTTGGCTTCGCAGTTGATTTTGATGCCTTGCTTCCTCCGTTTGTTGACTGTTTGGACTGGTTGATGTAAGCCGTGAATTGACATGATATATCTGGTTCCGTAATTGCTTGTCCACCAACGATCTTATGGATAGAACGTCTGGGCTCGATTTCTTAATGGTAATAACAGGAAGATGATCTTCAAAAAATCTTGCATCTGAGGGCTGTTCGACGATGTCAGGACATGTAACTGAAATTTCTGAAGCTTTTTCAAGTGAGGAAACACATTCAACATGGAGACCATGCCAAGGTCTGTCAAGTGAGGAAACACATTCAACATGGAGACCATGCCAAGGTCTGTCAAGTGAGGAAACACATTCAACATGTAGACCATGCCAAGGTCTGTCAAGTGAGGAAACACATTCAACATGTAGACTATGCCAAGGTCTGTCAAGTGAGGAAACACATTCAACATGTAGACCATGCCAAGGTCTGTCAAGTGAGGAAACACATTTAACATGTAGACCATGCCAAGGTCTGTCAAGAGAGGAAACACATTCAACATGTAGACCATGCCAAGGTCTGTCAAGTGAGGAAACACATTCAACATGTAGACCATGCCAAGGTCTGTCAAGTGAGGAAACACATTCAACATGTAGACCATGCCAAGGTCTGTCAAGTGAGGAAACACATTCAACATGTAGACCATGCCAAGGTCTGTCAAGTGAGGAAACACATTCAACATGTATACCATGCCAAGGTCTGTCAAGTGAGGAAACATATTCAACATGTAGACCATGCCAAGGTCTGTCAAGTGAGGAAACACATTCAACATGGAGACCATGCCAAGGTCTGTCAAGTGAGGAAACACATTCAACATGTAGACCATGCCAAGGTCTGTCAATAGAGGAAACACATTCAACATGTAGATCATGCCAAGGTCTGTCAAGTGAGGAAACACATTCAACATGTAGACCATGCCAAGGTCTGTCGAGTGAGGAAACACATTCAACATGTGGACCATGCCAAGGTCTGTCAAGTGAGGAAACACATTCAACATGTAGACCATGCCAAGGTCTGTCAAGTGAGGAAACACATTCAACATGTAGACCATGCCAAGGTCTGTCAAGCGAGGAAACACGTTCAACATGTAGACCATGCCAATGTATGTCAAGTGAGGAAACACATTCAACATGTAGACCATGCCAAGGTTTGTCAAGTGAGGAAACACATTCAACATGTAGACCATGCCAAGGTCTGTCAAGTGAGGAAACACATTCAACATGTAGACCATGCCAAGGTCTGTCAAGTGAGGAAACACATTCAACATGTAGACCATGCCAAGGTTTGTCAAGTGAGGAAACACATTCAACATGTAGACCATGCCAAGGTTTGTCAAGTGAGGAAACACATTCAACATGTAGACCATGCCAAGGTCTGTCAAGTGAGGAAACACATTCAACATGTAGACCATGCCAAGGTCTGTCAAGTGAGGAAACACATTCAACATGTAGACCATGCCAAGGTTTGTCAAGTGAGGAAACACATTCAACATGTAGACCATGCCAAGGTCTGTCAAGTGAGGAAACACATTCAACATGTAGACCATGCCAAGGTCTGTCAAGTGAGGAAACACATTCAACATGTAGACCATGCCAAGGTTTGTCAAGTGAGGAAACACATTCAACATGTAGACCATGCCAAGGTCTGTCAAGTGAGGAAACACATTCAACATGTAGACCATGCCAAGGCCTGTCAAGTGAGGAAACACATTCAACATGTAGACCATGCCAAGGTCTGTCACATATTTATGCATACATTATTAAAATAAAATAGCGATGCGATAAAGAACAATGAAGAACAAAGCGTGGTTTATTTCACAATAAAACATTCTTTTATCATGACTTCATTTCTGTGAATCAAACATGCACTCGCAACTTGAAAAGGTCATATATATTACTTCGACATGGTTGGTTGCATATGATTATGACGGATTAACGAGTATGTCGGATAAACCAAATTAAGTAGTATCATCGTTTGTGATAAAAAATTGGACAACTACACGATAGATAACGATACAAACACGTTATAAAAAAATATAAATGGAATATCCATATTGTTTCTAATCATGCAAATTCTAAAGCTCAACACAAAACAACTGTTACGGACTGTATGACTCATTTAAAATACTTTAAAAAACATAGTCTGGAATGGAAGTCGCAAGTTAGAAACTGGTACCACAAAGCTTAAGAAAGCTGCTTTCTAAGTGGCTAACATTGACTTCCTGTTAGTCATTTCATTGGTCTGTCATAGTTCGCGAAAGGTTGTTCTGACGTGACCTGCAATGGGATGTCCTCAGTGATAGCAAGAACTTGTATCTGATTTTAATGAGATTGAGGTAATCTACGCAAGTGATTACTCCTGTTTATTTAAAGCAGTAATTGTTTATTGTTAAGCAAGTTTATCTCTGCAGCTGTTGAAATATGCAGCAACTCGCCGACTCGTCTCGCATCAAAACAAGGGGCTGTGTACTTGCGGGCAGATGACCACGGAGTACACCGATCACTGTGTCGGATTAACGAGACTGATAAATTAGTGATTCCGGTAATTCGTTGCAAATAAGGTGTGTCGGAGTCGGAGTGCGAGACTGTCGGATTAAAGGGTCTAAATAGCACTGATTTATTGGTTCCCATCATTAGTGTCAGATAAAGCTGATTGTCGGATTAATGAGACTTGACTGAATGTTAATGATATGGCACCATGAGCAGAAAGTATCTCTCGCCATATTACTCTGAATATCCATCTCAAATAAGTTCATTAACATGGCTGGAACTCTGTGGAATTCGTGCGGTAGGTGATTTAGTGTTTCCCTTTCGTTTTTGAGACAAACTTTCTGACACAATTTATAAATTTAGGAGTTTTGTGAAGAATATAGGTGAATAACTAGCAACATTACGGGAATGTGTAACACACACATCCCAAAAATATATTGTCGCAGACAATTGTAGACAAAATTAGAAATGCATGAATTTCCTAAACAATTTCCCGTAAACCATATCCCCACAGACTTTAAACCAAACTATAACAAATAGACCACATCGTTTTAATGCACTGACGGGGCGGTCGGGTAGCCTAGTGGTTAAAGCGTTCGCTCGTCACGCCGAAGACCCGGGTTCGATTCCCGACATGGGTACAAAGTGTGAAGCCCATTTCTGGTGTCCCCCGCCGTGATATTGCTGGAATATTGCTAAAAGCGGCGTAAAAACCATACTCACTCACTCACTTTAATGCACTGACCCAATGCCAGCCTGGTTGTCTGGGTAGGCAGCGCTGGCGCAACATTGACACCGATGACTCCACAATGGCGGCCTCCACTAGACAACGATCATGGCGGACTCTTTATCATCTGTTTGCGTATTTACTACAGGAATACGCCAGAGTGGGCTGTTAGAGATGTTCTTGGCTTGTTCATGAATACTGCTGCGTTGTATATGTCCCGAGAATAACATGAAGGCCAAATGTAAACAGTGACACACCCCTTTTTCTTTTATTCTACTTTAAGACTATAAACAGCATTATAATATATCTAACTTGCTCAAAAGCAGATGTATGTCAAAGCCGGCAGCCTCGATTGTAAGGATATGCCACAGATTATAAGATTACATCGCAAATGTCAATGAGGGAAGATCATTTGATAACGTCTGTCTCGTTTGTCAGTGATTCAGTTTTTGACCCAACCCCCTATTTGTCTCTCCTGGTGACTAGCTTGGTTGTACAGGTAGGCTGCTCTTGGCACTTC